TTTATTATCGAAATTATTCAATTATGTCACGAGCGCGAAGATTAGCGGGATTGCCACCACCTAAAGTTGATTCGATCATAAAATCAAACAACAAGCGTTCATCAATTTCACCTTCTTCATCAAAATCGATACAACCTATTAAAAAGATAATCGTACCGAAAAATCTAAAATCATCAAGAAAATTATCAAGGTTTGAGTCTAGAATACCGCTTACATCAAACGTTGAGGCATTGAACAAGAAATCACAGAAAGGGATAAAAGAGATGGATTTCGATAATGTGGGTGAAGATGCCGTTAAGTGTAGTGATGAGAAGTCAAGTAAGGATTTGAAACAAAAGGAGGATAAGAGCAATTTAATGAACGTTGATGATGCAAATAAAGAATCGAATACAATTAAAAAGTCGACTTCAACATCATCGTTGACGTCCTTACCAGAAGTGAAATCACGAATTCAAATTTTCCAAGTTCCAATTAAATCGGCAAGTAAGTTCGTTTTAATTATTGTTACACGATTCGTTTCTAATGTTTATTAAGATTTCAAAATTGTTATTATTATTATTATTATTATTTGATTAGGTATTGAAACTAGGCTACCAAAATTTCAAAAGGAACGGTTTGAACAACCGGAAAATCCATATTTATTAAAGGTTGTAGTTTTGGGAACTCCTAATGCAGGAAAATCTACAATGTTGAATGCACTATTTGGTGAAACAATATCAGTGGTTTCGAATAAAGCGCATACAACGAGAGAAAGAATTTCTGTGGTATTTACCGAAGAGAATAAGCAATTAGTAAGTGAGCGAATATCGTCTAGGTGAAGAAATCGTTTGATGATCATTCTAATCGATTATTTAAGTTAGATATTTATCGATACACCTGGAATCGTGCCAGGGCATAATCGTCCAAAATTGAACCGTGGGTTGATTAATGCATCATGGCATTCAATACAGGAAGCTGATCATGGTAAATAAATTTTTTGAATAAAGTAACTCCAGAATATTTTTTTAGAATTTTTTGTCAACAACTTCTTTTAAACAAGTGTTGGTAATAATCGACGCGTTCAGGGCGTTATATCGTACTACATACGCAGAAAGTTGGTTATTGGATAGGCTAACGGAATATAAATTACCAGGAACGTTGGTATTGAATAAGGTAAGTTACCATTCCTAATATGACAATTTCAAATAAGGCTAACTATATATTATATATATATTTTTATTTATTTATTCTCTTTTTTCTTTGGACAGATTGATTTGTTATCCAATGAAAAGGAATCGATACCGTATATTTATAAAAAATTCACGTCACAATACCCTTATTTTAAAGATAAAACGAGCATAAGCGCGTTGAAACGGAATGGGATAGCAAATTTGAAGGTAAGGAATTAGGATTTGTATCATTTATACGAAATTATATTAATACAAACCTTTTTGTGTGTACGAATAATGATTATGAAGGAAATATTATTCTCCAACGCGTACCCTCATGATTGGATTTGTCCACCAGATCATAGGATTGATATGGCAGAGATGAAACGCGTTGAAGATTTCATTAGAGCAGAAATTTTTGAAAGATTACGTGATCATTTGCCTTATGTCGTGAGACAGGTGAGTTGAGAAAAAAAGAATCGCTTTAAAGAAAATAATTCAATGGGAGATTTATTTTCCTTTATGAATAGGAAAACGTTGGATGGACCGATTTACCAAATAATATTTTAAGGATAGATCAAAATATCTATACCGACAATCCTTCGCAACAGGTGATAAAAATATATTGTTCTTTTTATTAATAAATCCTCTTGTATTAAAAAAATTTTTTTTTTTTTCCTGATATCAGAGAATATTAATAGGAGCAAATGGTACAGTAATAAAAACTATTGGAGTGAGAGCTGCAACAAAATTATCGGCAATATTTGGTAAGACTGTTAGGTTGTATTTGACAGTTAAAGTCAGATCGTTGGAAAAGAATAAAAAGAGGTATTAAATTAATAAGTAAATCTAATGTATAAAATTAAAAAATCATTTTATTCTAAAAAAGCGCGTTCTCTAATTTAAATCAAAAGAAAAAATCAATTGTTTTAATTATTGTTTACTGTAAAGTTAGAATCGGTAAATTTTTTATGATGACATTCTCATTTTGAGTTTTTGAAATGACCATTTATTCCTATGCCGCGGGTATTATAAGGTTTTATAAATCAAGGAATCGAATAATAATAATAGAACTAAAAGGTTTCGTTCGAAATTCAGATAGTTTAAATAGAATTCCTTTTGATCGTTGATACTTATATGAAATGACAACCACCTTTTGTTCAACAATTTTCATGTATTATTAATCATGATTGAGATGTAATATTAAAGGTTTGTTCGGAATGCTGATGTGGGAGATTACACAGTATTAAGACTTTTTTTTTCTTTTTGTAAAAGATAATATTAATAATGAAAAACATTTCCATTAATTTCATGTAAGCGTCTAAAATCTGAAAAGATGTTTATGTATAATGTATATGATCAAATTTTCAACCGATTATAAATGTTTACATGTTATGTAAAATAACAAATGATAATGATAAAGAATATCAAATCCATAATCTTTTAAAAAAAAAAAAAAATAAAATTCATGGCCAGATAATTGTGCCTTTCCTAAAGAGAACATTAGGGTCATATTTTCTTTTCAATTCTTTCAACCTTACTAAATTTTCACCATAGACCCTTTTTAATTTCTCGCCTTTATAATCTATTCCTTCAGTAAAATTTTCAAAATTAATGTAAATGGATTCATCACCATCACCGTCCAAATTTATAATTTCTTGCAAATTTTTAGCCCAATTATAAACGATGGGATCATCCTCTTCATTGATCCAACGTTGTAATATCACGACGTTATAAAAAGGTTTACGATGTGCGAATGCGGTGGCCTTTGAAGGGATTGAAGCAAATTTTTCATAAGAGTAAAGTTCAAACATTATTACTGATTTACCAGTTGATGGGTTTTCATTAGTGAATTTCACGTAAGAATCGTAAACTTTGTAAGCTGTTGAATAAGTTAAAGTTGAAATGTGAGCATCACGAAGTGCCTTACGATCCCCAAACTCTGTAGCCGCATTTGCGGGTGTATTCAACTTTGGATATGGTATGCATTCTACTATTTCCTTAACATATTCACCATATTTATAAATTGTTGAGAACCTTTCCCGAAAGACTTGTTCAGATGGGTCATTGGAAAATAACAAAAGCATTATAACAGGCTGATTTAAATTTAAAAGGTGAGGTGGGAAGAAAGAGGAATAAAACGAGTCAGAAAATAATAAACATCAAAAAGATTTGGCAAAGTTAAAAAAAAAATATCATACCTGAAACTCTGGAGGAGGTCTATTAAAAATAATGGAGATGGAATGATCAGGTCCAGCATTTTCTTTAAGCGATTCATTAACAGCATCTACAATTAATTTTAACTTTTCGCCAGGGTATATTAAGACACCAAAGCAAACCTCTCTTTGTTCATGCGCTTTATAAATAAATTCATAAACGACGCCAAAGTTTGGTCCCCCTCCTCGAATTGCCCAAAACAAATCTTCATTTACGGTTTCCGATAATTCTTTTACTTGTCCATCCGCAGTAACTAACGTTGCACCTACCACATTATCAACCGTTAACCCGTGTCGACCCGTCAAGTAACCGAATCCGCCTCCTATCGACAATCCACCAATGCCAGTATGTTCAACCGTACCCCCAACCGTTGCCAATCCATATTTCCAGGCTTCCCTATCGACTTCACCGAAAAGGGCTCCTCCTTGAGCATAAATTAATTTCTTTTCAACGTCAACCCTTACTTTATTTAATTTCCTCATGTTTAACACAACTCCTCCCTCAGAGCTTGAATTACCGGATGTTGAATGTCCACCTCCACATACGGCAAAATCCAAATTATTTTGACCGACAAATTTAACGGTTTTGACAATGTCATCAAGACAAGTTGCTTGAACAACGATTCCCGCCCTTTTTATCGCATTATCGGACCATCTTGTTAAACTTTTTTCGTATCCCTCATCTCCCTCCATCAACAACTCGGTAACTTCTGCATTGAATAACCCTTTGAATTTTTGAACTTTTGCGGGATCAATATCTTTCAACAATTTTTGAGGTTGATGGGTCATATTAAAGAGTTTTAACGCGTAACGAATTTAATTGATGTGACTTTTCTTTTTTTTTATTATTATGACGAGTAAATTCAAAATTCTTTTGAGGTTGATGATCATGAAGTATTTCGTCCTACATATATCCTTAATTTGGAAGTTCTTATTCCTGCAAAAGGCTGCTCCTTTTGAGGAAGAACTGTTTCCAGCGTGTGAAAGTCAAAAATTATGTTCAGGACCCTGATCATTGTAATGAGGATGAGTTTTTTTTTTGCATACCGCAGCACGATAAGTTCTAACCGATTAGTCGCAGCAACTCCTAGAAAAAATTATCGACTGATTATGTTGCCGCAGATTATTTACCTTTTGGTAGTCATTAAATTTGTACTATTTTTACTGAAATCAATAAAGAGATATATATAATGATCAATCAACACGGGATTCCGTTAGTGGTTTACAAATACAATACAAATAAATATATGTACCATCATTTTTGTCATGTATTTTTGATGTTTTTCGCACTTTTGGCCAAGCAAAGTGTTGGCTTTGCAATAATTGTTTAAAATTTTTACTAATCTCCATTTAATAGGGTAACCATTTTTTTTTTTCAAAAAAAGTATTTTGTTAAAAGTAAGTGATATTGTCAATTTTAGGGTGATTTGATTAAATCAATGATTGTAAAAAATTCAGGACCTTGAAAATTAAGAATAATTATGTCATACTATAATTATTTTTTTTTTTTTTTTCAGGAAAAGGAGGATATTTCTTTTCATGTTCAAGAGAAATTGCGATCATATCATTATCAAACTTTTGCCCACATCCTGGTATTATTATTATTATTTTTTTTTTTTTTTTTTTTTTACCTTCAATGGTTGCACAAATAGATCCACCTACGGGTCCAACAAATAATAATACCCTTATCACAACTGTTGAAACGATGAGAGAGGAAAATCAGGATAAGGTTCACAGAAATCATTACGATGACGAAGATTATGTCGATAACGAAGATGAAGAATTGCAAGATATGGAAATGAGTCCAGCCGTTTCACCGATAAATGATGAAAATAACCATAATGATGAAGAGATATTTTCAAACTTGTTACCTAGTAAACAACTTGAAGATGAGAAATTTACAAATGGTTCAGGGGTAAAATTGCCTCATCTGATTGAATTACACAACATAATTCATGAGATTAAGGAAAGAACCAAAAGATATGGAGGAGGGGTTGATAATGAAGAACAAGACGGTATGAAATTGTCTTTGAAGTTCTGTAAAGACTTTATCAGACTTCGTTCACTAAGTCGCAGAGCTTGCCAAGAGAGGGCCTTGACGAAGTTGGCAAGTCATGAAGCAAAACAACTATTGGAACAAAAAACGCTGAAACTGCTTCAAATTTTAACGCAGAAAGTCCAATTGCAAAATGAGCTGAAAAAAAAAGATAACCAAAGTTTAAATAAAAAAGAAGAGGATGAGTTAATCAATGAATTAAAAGACAAAATAAAGAAAAGGTCAGAACTAGAGGAAAGGATTAATGAAAAGCAGTCAAGTATTCGAAAAGTTGAAAGTATGATTTCCAAATACGTTAAAGATATTGAAGTTTTACAAGATAGATTGTGATTTGCGCCCAATAACCTAAATCTCTTTTTTAACCATACCGCAATGGATTTATTTTAAACAGCAAAGATAATTAATTTTTTGGAGAAAACTTTTCATAATAAATAAAACACTCAATAACAAGATTTTATTGTTGAAATTATTCATTTTATTTTTTTAAATTTATTCTGGAATTTAGGACAAAGATTTACATGTACAAACTCGAGATAAAAACGAGATAGGATTAAAAAATGTACCGTATATATTCATGCGCGATTAACTTATCTTTTGGGCATGTACCCTACGAAAAGTCATTTCAGGGGATGTACATTCTAGTTCATTATAAATATCCTCTAACAACTGATGATACTGATCCTTGGTTAATTTTAATTGTTCACAAACCTCCTTGACAAAGAAATTGCCCGAATTTTCATCATTAAACCAAGCAAGCAAGGCTTTTGATATCATACCTAAATTTCTCCGTTTTTACCTATCACAACCGCTCTATCTTCAACATTTATATTTTTAATATTCGGTATCTTGGTTACTATATCTGGTAATTTTAATCCTATGAACTTTTCTACCCCATATAATCCTGATACTAAGTCAACTAATGAAAAAAAAAAAAAAATCAATTTTCTTGTAAAAGCATTTAATCTTTTTATTTTTTAATTAATTAAAAATGAAGATTTATACTTACGTCCGTGTAAAATATAGCTCAATTTTCCCCCATACCTTTGTAAATAAACGTTTCACCAACTTCAATGCAACCATTTGGTTTTGATACTCTTACCATTTCGTTTAGAATAAACTCTATTTTCGTTGATATTGTTGAACATAACACTGAATCTAAGTGTACAAGATCAAATTCATTATCAGGGAATGGTACCCTTTGAAATATGTCTGCAATCATAAATTCCAAATGTTTAGGCTTTATCTATTTCAAAATCAAAGGGTAAATAATATAATAAATAGAATAGTTACTTATTCAGAAGAAAAAAAATATATATACCTCATTTGGAAATGTTGGTTCAATATCGACTCCGATAAATTTACTATTTGGATATTGCGCTGCAAGATCTAATAATAAGGTGGCGGGACCGCAACTGAAAAGGAACCATAACCTTCTTATTAAATAAATGAATTTAACAAAAAAAGAAATGAAATGAAAAAAAAAAAATACACACCCAAGATCCAAGACCTTACAACCTGTAATTAATTTTCTTTAATAGGTGAAGAAACCTCACATTGAAATAAATGTTTTTTTAGGAAATGATGGTTATGTTTTCTGTGAACATTTATTTTTATCTCATTTATTTCATCACCTACATTACTAATTGCAGCGTTGATAGAAGAATAAAGATTTTGATCCTTCCTGATCGATTTAGATGACGAATACCTTTCTGTTGACTTATTATTTCCCATGTTATCAGGAAGAAAAAAAAAAAAAGGGTTTAAAAGAAATTCATGATGTATAAAAAATCGTGCAATTATGTTTATGTACAGGATTGTTTGACGCCATAGATTCGGATCAAAAAAAAAACATCGGAAAATATTATTAAAATTTATCCTATTTATGTAACTCGAATTTACAATTGCTGCATGATTAATTTGAAAACACGGTTTCTTTTAACAAAGAATGCTATATAAACAAATAAATAAAACTTGTACAAATTTGGGGATAGTCAAAATTTAAAAAATTACTATTTTAGTAACACGTTCTCGGGTAAAACAAAATAAATGTAATATTTGTATGATAAAATTTATAAAGTTTGTCAAACAAAATTGTGTAATATTTTTATGCGTACAAAAATAAAGTTGTTTTTACTGCGTTAGTTTCTTTTTCAATACTTTTCGTTACTTTGCACTAATGATTTTATGAAATTGTAGTTAACTATCGAAAAAAATTTTTTATAATTGATTAATCCATTTTCTGAATCAGACCAATGCCAAAAGATAATCAAAGAGAATAAAAATAATTAAATAAATAAAATAAAATAAAATAAAAAAAAAAAAAATTATCGAATAAATTTTAATTACCTCAATCGTTAGACGGGTGTTTTTTGCGCAAAAACTCTACGTAAAGTCATTCTAGGACAAGTGAAATTCAATTCATTAAAAGCATCTACTACTAACTGATCATACTGCTTTTTCGTTAAATTTAATTGTCTGCAAATATCAACGACAAATAACTCGCTCGAATTATTAAACCAAGTAAGTATGTCTTGCATTATTATGCCCAAATTTCCGCCATTTTTGCCTACGACCAACAACTTATCCTTAACAGAGATCTTGTTAACATTGGATTTTGCGGCTAACATTTGAGACAATTTTACCACTACTTTTATGTCCGCTTTATGCAATTTCGATACCAATCCGTCTAATAAAGTTAACGAAAGCAAGTTAAAAAAAAAAATAATTAAAAAAGAGTGAAAAAAAAAAGTCATTACTTACATCCGTGTAAAAGGTGACCGAATTTTTCCCCTATGCCTTTAGATTGGTTGTTGAGGATGGATTCACAAAATTCAATGTACCCGTTTGGCTTAGTTATTCTAATCATTTCGTTTATAAGGAAATCTATTTTTTCCGATGGGAGTAAATATAATACCGACGCTGTATGCACGAGATCAAATTCATTATCGGGAAATGGTAGTCTTTGGAGGATATCAATTATCTTAAATTTCAAATTTTTAGGTTTGATCTATTTGGAAATTAAGGAGATTAAAATCTTACAGTACACTGTACGTATATATGTAATTTAAAGGATTTTATTCATTATTACCTCACTTGGAAAGAGTGGTTCGATGTCGACCCCTAAGAAATTACTATCTGGGTATTGTACAGCAAGATCTAATAAAAAGGTGGCAGGTCCGCATCTACCGCATTTCAAAAAAAAAAAATTTATTTATACGGATCAATTTTTTTTTTTTCTGAAAAAAAAATATATTTATATACACACCCAAGATCCAAGACCTTGCAACCTGTAATTAACTTTTCTTTAATAGGAGAAGAAATCCCGCAATCAAATATATGTTTTTTCAAAAAGTAAAGATCATGTTGTCGATGAATATTATCATCATTATTAAAATAATATTTGAAATCTTTTGTTTCGGGGACTATTTCTTTTACATTTGCAGTTGATAATTTTGATTTTGGATTTCGTCGTGATGACCCCTTATTTCCCATATTGTTTATTGTTATGATATTGAAAACAGAGAAATTTTTATATCGCGTCTGAGAAAAAAGGAGGTTATATAAAGTAGTTAAGAACCGATTTAATAAACCAAATCGGAAATAATCACCAAAAAAAAGGTTGGAACCAATGATACTACAAGTTAACATATATGAGAGACCAAGTTTTTTAAATTTGACATTTCATTTTATTAGAAAGAAGTAGATTTTTTTAAATAACAGCAATTAATCTTTCAACAAAATACTTTTTCCCAAGTACCACAATTCATTATTATTTTTTAGTGTAATATTTTTTATTCCGTTAAAATTCTTAAAATATTAAAATTTATCCTAAATAGCGTTACAGATATCATCCTGTCAAATTCATTTAGTAAGAAAGTCGTTGTTTCATTATACGCCATCATTACACAAAATCATTGATTTACCGTTTCTGTCGGTTTTATTATTCTAAAGACGCGTTCACAGTATTCCATGACACCGTCGATCATTGCTATGATAATCGTTCATTAAGAATAAATCCGGTTATATTGATATATTTAACTGTATTATATGTAGAATTTTCATCGGAGTTCTTAATATTGTTTTATTTTAAAGGTAAAAACGAAATTCCGCCAATGCGAATTGCTAATCTGTTTGGTTAATTGTTCTGTATTCCATCGGAGCTAGGATTATCTATTTTAGGTGAAATTTTGTTTGATCCAAAATATCAAAAAAAAAAAAAAAAGGGTTTGACTAACAAATCCCTTTTTTTCTTTTTATTTTTTTTATTTAATCCGAAGTCATACCTAACTAAATACTAAAATTAAACTAGAAAAATATGTGGGGGATACAAAATTTTAAATTTTAATACATATCAACAACTCGATTTTTGAGCGTAAATCCTACGAAACATCAATTCAGAAAAAGTAACATTTAATTCATTAAAAGCATCTACTACTAATCGATCGTACTGCTCCTTCGTTAAATTTAATTGGTTGCATACGTCATTAACAAATAATTCATTTGAATTATTAAACCAACTAAGTATATTTTGCATTACTACGCCCACTCTTCCACCATTCTTACCTACAACTATTGATCGATCCTCAATCTTTATATTTTTAATATTCGGTACCACGCTTAACATATGAGGTAAGTTTAATGCTATATGCATATCCGTTTCATATAAATTTGATACCAATTCGACTAATAAAATTAATGAAAAGAAAAAAAAATATATATATATATATATTTTGTGTTATTCTTATTTTTATTTTTATGGTTTTTTTTTTTTAAAAAAAAAAAAAGAAAGGTTAAAAGTACTTACATCCGCGTAAAAGTTTTCCAAATTTTTCACCTATACCTTTATGGTAAATGGATTCACAAAATTCAATGTAACCATTTGGTTTACAAATTCTTATCATTTCTCCGATAATGAAATTTAAATGGACCGATGGAATTGTGAATAATGTTGTTTCAATATGTACAAGGTCAAATACATTATCGGGAAATGGTAGCCCTTGAATAATATCTACTAACTTAAATTCCAAATTTTTAGGCTTGATCTATTTAGAATTAAGGGAGACATAAAAGGTTATCATCTTTTCAAATATATAACCCTTTTTTTTTTATTAGCTAAAAGAACTTTGTTTGTTAATACCTCTCTTGGAAACGTCGTTTCAACATCAACACCGAGGAATCTACTATTTGGATATTGTGCAGCAAGATCTAACAAAAAAGTCGAAGCCCCGCACCTATCGAGAGTGAGAGTTAATAAATGGTTTGTAATGCGCTATTTTATCATTATCATTATCAACACTTTTTTTAAAAAGAGAAAAAATTTACTCACCCAAGGTCTATGATTTTACAACCTTTACCCTTAATTAACTTATCCTTGATAGGACAAGAAATCTCGCTTTTAAATAGATGCTTTTTTAAAAAATGATGATCATGTTGTCTGTGATTTTCTTCATGATTGAAATAACATTGGAAACTTTTTATTTTGTTATAATCGATCCCATTTATCTCTTCTGCTACACTTTCAATAGAATCAGTAGATGGTTTGATATTCCTCCTCCTAATTAATCTAGATATTGGGCGCCTTCGCGATGAAATTCCATTACCCATGATCGTTTTTTTTTTTTGTTTTTATTTTTTTTTTTTTTTTTAACATTTCAAAACATATGGTAGAAAAGGGCATATATATGCTAAAACGCAATGCTTTGTTTATAATTGACAATATTATAATTTACTCTTATTGGTCGCACCGCATCGATTGTTTACTCATCGTAGTTTGAACTTTTTTTATCGTTTAGGATCACAACATTTGTTAACATTTAGTAGAAAAAAAGAAAACTGGCAACTTTTGCAGTCCTCTAACATTAGAGTCGTTCGTCTAATATCAGAGTCGTTCATCTAAGAATAATCGAGTTTGTATGTTATTTTCTACCAAAAGTATACAACATAAACCTTCAACCTTATTCGTGAAGTGCGAATGTGAACTTTGACTCGAATTCTTGAAGAATCCAAATTGCATGGTAACATAAATCTCTTTTTAATTTGGCGAGGACAAAGAAAATTGATTCTTGACGATCTAGTACTAATGTTTGTACTGTACATGTGGACCCTTAAAATAAAATAAGCTCATCTTACGACCTTTTTTTTTTTTCTGTATGATATAATTCAACCGGAAGTTGAATTTTCAAACTTTGTTTGATGAATGAATGACATTCATGACAAATTTAATGGTATGTAATCAACGTGATTGTGTAGAACTGTTTCTTGGCCTCTTCTCAATTTATCTGCAACATTGCATAATGAATTAGTGAATCAACATTTGATTGGTTCCTGTAATAGAACTCCTCCTTAATTCTATATAAAAAGGTTCTTGCTTCACAATAAATTTATGAACTTTATTTCATCCCGCAATTCATTCATGCGCATCAACAAAGAACTAACCACAAAATTGATTTTGTACTGGTTATCTCCTTCTTGTTGGCATGATTAGATTTTTACACGCACAAAAGATGAATGGAAAATTCTCTTTATAGAATTTTTTTTTTTTTTTGTTTTGTATGAAACGCTAGAATGTTCTTTATAAGGAAGGAAAATGCTAAGGATGAGTAAGGTTTTTCCACTCTTGTTTACACATGCATCAGATTCATTTGAGCTGATGAGATTGCTAAAATGGTCGTCTTTCAATAAATCTGGTTTATGAGGTGGGTAAACAATAATCTGTATTTTTTAATATTCGAGAGAAATTACCTTTATTAGTAGATATATTCGAGCTTTCATGACGCAGTTACTCTCCCCAAATGCAAGGTGTGTTTTGCGATAATTGTTTTATTGCTATAAATATATTAGAAATGATTGGTTGTATCCCATCATTTCAGAAGCAAGCGACCAATGTTCTGAAACCGCCAGTCAGTTAAAAAAAAAAAGATCCATGATTGGCCAAAAAAAAAAAAAATAGGCAAAATTCTGTGAAGCGGCCGAAAACATTTTTTTTTTTCTTGACTTTCGTTGCTGTGTCTGAGGCTCTATCTCTATCAACTTACGATGAACCCATTAGTTTGATACTTGAAAAACGAATTAACATTTGTCCATTTATTAGTGTAATTATACTATGAATGAAGCGATTTTTTCCAAATAAACTTGACTCCTTTCCTTTTTGCACAAGATAAACACGGTAGTACAAATACCGGCTGATCGGAACAAACAAGAAATTCCCAAAACGAGGTTTTCGAAAAAAAATTTGCAAGGGGAAAGGTGAGAGAAAAAATAAAATCTCATGGATAAATAAAATAAAAACAATAACAAAAAACAAAATCTTGTAAGGTAACAAAAAAAAAAAAATTGTATCATGACATTACCTAATACTTTTCACATCCTTCAACCTTATACTGCTCCTACGTGAATTTTGTTAAATTTAAACATAAAAGATGAAAATCGTAATATTTCCTTTTAATATTAAGAACATTTTTTCGAACTTTCATTTCAAGTTTCTTGGTTTTTTTTTTTTTTTTCAAATAAAATTTCGTCTTGTCTATTTTAAAGCCAAAGAATTAGGATTTAAGGTATACTTGGATTTACTGTATCTGCACACCCCCAGGCAACTAAAAACTGGAATCTCGTCAGACACCTGTTTCATTGGTTAAAGGATGAATTATTAATATGATTGAGAAAATTCAACGAATTGAACAGGAGGTATTTATAGGCTAGTGATTTTTAACGATGTATGTAAATTTTTTTTTTGTTCTTTTTTTTTTTTTATTAATTTCTTCTTATTGATATTGTTTCTTCCGTTTTTCAGAATCGACTCACCATCAAGAAAGGTTTCCTCTAGCAAAAAGAAGACCTTGAACAGTAAAAACTCCTCAGCTCTAGACGTTCAGTCTATGAACTCGTCAGTGATATCGGCAACTTCAAACAACCGGGACTTAAGACCTTATTGGAATGGACGAGTCGCGGAATGGTTCTCAGAAATTATGGTTACCTGTAGGGATGGGCGTTAATTAACCACGGTTAATAACCAAAAGAGAAATATAGATAATTAACCTAAAGAATTTTTTTTTTTTTTTTTTTTTTTTACGATGTGGCACTGCCAGTAACTTTAAAGCGTGATTTGTGTTCATTTCGTAATAAATAGCCATCACAAAAGATAGATTGTGATTGTAAACTTTACGTAAAACAAATGAATAGCTCTATTTTCACTTTTCGGTACATTTACTAGTTAACCAACAATTTTAACACAAAATTAAATTACACAAATAGATGGATTGAGAAATGAGCATTACTTTCGCTTTAAACTATTATTTTGCGTTGAGAATCCTTGCCAACTAAGAGTACTTTTTGTAATGAAATTGTCAAAGTAGCATAAAACCCTTAAATGATCAAATAAATGTATTTTTTGACGCAGTAATGAGTTTAACGAAAGTTATGATAATGAAAAAAATGGGAAATAACAAAATTTGATGAAGAGGAATATTTTCGTGCATTAGATTCTTTAATTAATGAAAAGATGAAAGTGACATCGAACTTGATGATACATATTTAAATTATCTGAATTTTCAGAACTGGATGAAGATGTTTTATCAATTTATTGGTTAACAAATTTACATCTTGTGTTCAGTTGACTATATAGATGGAATATATCGAACATGTAGACAAGTTAATTGTACCAAAGGCTGCAAGAATTAATTGGTATCTGGCAAATTGACAGCTTAATAGTTACAACATTAAATTAGGATCTTTCAAAATTGAGTGTATGCATATCTCATTTCAATTTTAATCAAAGAATCTATAAAAAAAAAAAAATCAACAACAAAAAGCACTAAAAAAGTCATATACAACTACGACAATGTTTATTTTGTTTTCAAAACATCATTATTTTACAAGGAGAATTGGTTGTACGCAAGTTATATTGGACAAAGTTATTTTTACGCCTTGCATTGGGCAAATAAATTGTCAAGCATTAAAGAAAGAATTTCTGCAAACCTGTGTTAAAAAGTTTGTTCCGACCCTGATTTTCATGTGGTAAATGTTTTGTAAAAAGGCGGGTATTTATATACCAAACCAGGTAGAAGTAAAAAAACAAATTAGATGTGAAAAATACCATGTAATAGACACATCTAAACAACTTGAAATTATTGGAAGATGGTTGGTTAGAATAGCAAAGTTGAGTGAAGATAAATTTAAAAATACAACTCTAACGGTTATTGCACCTTCAATATTTCAAATTCTTAAAGGAATTTGTCTAACAAAATGCACATCTGAATGTGTCACATCAGAATCAACTTTTGAAGAATCTTCTGATATTTCAAGTCTATTTATGTTACATGTTAGCATGCAACTAAAACAAATCATTATAACACAGAAGGATCTAGAAATTCAGTTTTATCGGAATTGAGAAAACAGTTTGCATTTAAATTATAGATCTTTAATAGAATATATCTAACATCAAGACTGATAGGCTTATAATAAAAAAATAAAATAAAATAAAATTAGTAAATTAGTAAAGTGAAAAACTACTAAATTATCAAATTTATCAAAAGTTGAATTCAAAAAAAAATAAATAGTAACTTTTAAATTCAACTTTTTAATAGCTCTTTCATACTTTTAAATTCTTATATATGACTTTTAATTATTTATAAATAAATTATTTTTTAATTTTCTTATTAACATAAATATTTTTTTATTCTTTAAAAAACAGTTTTATTATTTATGATATTAAGATTTAAAATATAACACATTGACATTTATTTTTATTTGATTTTTTTAATATTTTATTTTAATTATTATATTTATTCAATAGCAAATAAATATCTTTTTATTTTCTAACTGTTCTTGCCTTTATATTATAAAAGATTTAAGATTTACAAATTAATTTTCTGATCTAATATTCTATTTTGTATTATAATTAAACTTATTTATTAATCAATAAATTATTACAAAAAATTTTTTAACATTTGAATTATTTTTATTTATTAGTTTAAAATGTTTTTACATAATTTAAAACATATTTATAAAATTCTCTTTTTAAATCTAATTTTTTAATAAATATATTATAAACATCTTTTTTTTAAATAATTTTTAATAATTGAAAATTACCAGTTAGAATAATTTATTTTTATTAGTTTGAATCACATAGATAAATAATTTTTTATTTTATAAGACTTTTTTAAAATACTATTAAGAAGAAATAAATTTAATATTAAGCTTTACTATTTTTAAATAAAGAATTATAGCAAAAAATACTTATAATAAATCAAATAAAATTATATATAATAATATATTTTATAATTAAGTAATATAATAAATTATACCTAGTTTATTATACTTTAAATATATTTAATTTCTTAGATTTTATTAATAATGTTTTCTAAATAATTCTTTAAAGTTATATTAAGTAAAACTTAAGTTTTTTCATAATCATTTTTTATAATATCTACATTATGCTTATTTAAAACCTAAATCTTAAAATTTTAATATTTAAAAAAAATGAGCATATAGTTACATATAATTCCTATAATTTTACCTATATTATTGTATTATTTTTCTAACCTTTCTTATTTAAATTCTATTAAAATATTCTAATATTTATTTTTCTTTTATAAAACTAATAAATAAAATATAGATATTTTTTATATAATTTATCAACTAAATTAAAAATTATATTAAAACTCTAAAAATTCTTATAGCTATTTTAAAATATTAACCTTATTTTTTAAATAAAATTCTATTAAGAATAAAGCTAAAATAATAAAATTTGCTTTTAATTTTATAATTTAATTTATACTTTTCATCTATTGTATTAAATATATTTTTATTAAAAGATATATTTAAATAGTTATTTATTAATTCTATTTAATAATATTTAAAATCAAATTTAATAAGAGAATTGTATAAAGTATAAATTCATTAATAAAAACTTTTTATTTATTATAAAACTTTTTCTTAATTTTTTTAGTTTATTAAATATAAAAGATGCAATATTATAAAAAAATTTGATCCTCTACTATAAATCTTTTTAATTAAAACTTAAGTATTTATCTTTTTATATTTTCTTAATAATTATCTAAAAATTCTTTATTGAATTTAAGTTAGGATTAAAGACTTTCAAAATATTATTTCTTTAGTAAAGTAGTTTATATACTTTTAATCATTATTTTGTTAAAATTAATTAATTATTTTTAGATATTTTATTAATCTTTTAACATATTTTTATCTTAAATAAAATATAATTTCAATTGTTATTAAGATATTACTACATTTAATCAACTGTTTTTATTTATAATAAAATGATCTAATTATTATAAGTCATCTAAAATAAAAATAATAATCTAGTTATTTAATATTACAGCTACTTTTAATTATTTTTTTTTATTTATTATTTTTGGTATGTAATTTACTATGATATAGATCCTACTATATCATTTTGATCAAAAGTTCGTTCTATATAATGATAAATATCAGAATATTTAAACAATATTTTTAAGCATAATTAAAATTATTTAAAGGTCTTATTTATATGCTCAGTTAATTTTAGCTTAATATAACTATTTTTTCAAATTTTATATATTGGATGAAAGTAGCAACTTTTTTCCTTTTTTTTTTAAGATTCCAGTTTAAATTTTTTTCTTTTTTACAAACTAAAAGGTTAGATAAATAAATTACAGATCTAGAATTTTTTTTAAATACAGAATATGTAGTGATTTTATTATCAGATTTTAAGAAAATAAACTATTTTTAATTAAATACTATATTTTATATAAAATTTTTTATTTATTCAATAAAAAGGTATAAATTATATATCCTAACTACCTTTGCCACTTTTTGTGATTTCTATAATATTATTTTATTATATTAATAGTATAACTCAGCCATAATAAAATCAATTTATTCAATGTCTCTTATATTATATCTTGAAGTACTTCTTTTTCATAAGTAAGTAGAGGTTTGAGTATCTCTTTTTCTTTGTCAAATTTTGTGTACTGAGTAGTTTTTGCTTGCTTTTAGCAAGTTCTTAGATGGTAGTTATCTCAACTGGTTAAATTATATAAACCTAAGTGGAATATTAAGGTATTTAAAAATATTAATTAAACTAAAAGATTTAAACTTAAAGATCAAGAAACAACAAGCATTTTGAGACTGTATAGTTAATTGAATAAAAGAGATGTGTGGTTTTGAAGTAATAACTCGTAGCTTTAAAGCAATTAAACATGTTGGTTGTAGAAAAAGATATCTGATTTATAGTAATTATATTAGAAAATATAGAAATTGATTGTGAATTACTAGTTAAACTAGAATTTTTTTTTTTGAGTTATTGAACTTGATTCAGCAAAAGATTCTGAAAAGAAAGTTTGTAATTTATTATTATTTTTAACCACTTTTTGTTTTTCTTTTACTGATTTTTTTCGTTCTTTTTCAGTATTAATTAAATCTTTCACTTTTATAACGCAAACATTCTTTGCATCTCTACCTTTTATGTTAATTGGCTCAATTTTAAGAATTTCTTGGCAAAACAAAGATTCTATGTAATCTTCACTATTGCTTATACATGAAAATAATTTTTTATATTTCTTTTCAATAAGTTGTATACAATGAATAAAAAGTTCACTTTCTAATGGGTTTTGATGTTCAAAAGCAATTACTAATTTTAATGCCAAATCCCAAGTGACTTTCTTCAGCTAATTATTACTTGATCATTTTTTTAATTAATAGGATCATTAATAAAAGCCCATAATAAAATATCTATTCTATCACTTTCTGATTATGCTAATAATATTTATAATTTTAAGTTTTTTTCATTAGTCACTTTTTCATTAATGTTTGTTTAATAAACTTTACTTCATAAGTTTCAAGAACTTTATCAAATACCATATAATAGTTTTTATGACTAATGTTAACTGATGCAATATAAGTGAATAATTGTTATAATTGTGAATGTTTTTCTAATTCTACTAAATAATAAATAACTGATTTAGCATAATTAAACTTTTCTACAATAGGAAATAATAATGTGAATGCTTTTAATGATTTATGCTGCATATCAAAGTTGCCAGTACAGATTCTAACTTTATGGATTTTCTATAATCTTACCTAACAAAAAAACAAATATTAAACTTTTAATAAATTATTAGTTTTGTTCATAATATTATCAAATTCAATCTCATATTTTGCTAAATAAATTTGAATTAAAATTCTTACTGCTGTTCATATCATTTTTAATACTCTACAAGTTGACTGATAGTCTACTACAGATTTTAGTTTATCAAGAAATTTAACACTGAGAGTTGATGTTATTTTGAACATACCATAGCTTGAAAAGATTGTAATAAGTATGCTACACATATCTTTGTTGGTATACCATTAATTGCATATGTGCATTATTATTTTTATACTAAATAATACACTGAAAAATTGCTTAATTAGCTATAATGTCAATATAATTATTTTTAGATAGTTCAAGATCTTTGAAATACATATCACACAATTCAAAAATTCTTTCATTTAAATTAAGGTTACCACCTGGTTCTAAAATTACAACATTTAGAATATAATAATTAGTACATTTATTTTCTGTTATTTTAAGAATTTTCTATCTGCATCAAAATCTTTTATATATTCAAAATTTGGTGATTTTTTTTGCATTAAGTAATTTTTTAAAGATTTGATCAAATTCTTTAATTATTTTTTGAGAATATTCATTTGATCTAAAGAGCTTTAAATTCTCAAATAAAACAACTTTATCATGACTAATTTGTATAATAGAAATTGGAATTTGATATTAAAAAATCATTCTCAATATTGCATAAGAAGTATTACGAATAGCATTAAATATATTTCCGTATGTAAATGCTATATCCTTGAAATTTATATTATCAATAACTAAATATTAGAACCTTTTTGAAGTCTAAATTTTAGATCTACTAATATTCTATACTTTTTTTCAAGTTTTTGCTTATACTGATTTGTATGAGATATCACATGCATCTCTTTTAATAACATGTAAAATATTAAAATTTGATAAGATCTATGACAAAGACTAATCAAAACTTGTAATACTCATATATTTAATCCTTTAAAAACAATTTTTAAAATTATTGAAATTAAAAAATAGTTATTTTTGAAATTTTGGTTGTATTGAAATTAAAAAAATTATTAAAACTATTTCATTATTTTTTTTCTATTAAAAACTTTCCATTTTATTTTTAATAAAGTAGTAATTAAAGCATCAAAAAAAATTTTAGTATTTCAGAAAAAGCATTATAATATTCTACTAATGATTTAGGATTTTCTAAAATAGATTTTTTTTTATTAATTCTGACTTTAATTTTTCAATATTACATGTTAATTTAATATCAAATTGATAGCATAAACTCAGATTTAATTTTTCTTTGAGAAATG